TGTGTGTGGCCAGCTCAGCCCACCAGGGGGCGGGGCTGGCTGGCATGTGGTGCTGGGGGATTGAACCGTGGTCCCTGTGCTTTGCTTAGCTTGTTCTAGGTAGGTGCTTTAGACCACTGAGCCATCTCACCAGCCCCTCGCCCTGAGTTTTGATTCATATTATTTTTATTTTTTATTTTTTGCAGAACTGGGAATTGAACTCAGGCCCTTGCGCTTGCCAGTCTTTGATTCATTTTGAATTCAGTTTAGTACATGGTGAGATACTTTGGTCCAGTTTCAATTTTCTGCAAATAGATATCCAGTTTTCTATCTGGATAACATTTGCTATCTTTTCTCCAGTGTATGCTTTGGTTCCTTTATTGGAGATCAAATAGCTAAATGTGTCTGGGAATATTCCTGTATTCTCTTCCCCCACACACCCTGTGTGTGGCACTGGTGATTGAACTCAGGCATACTAGGCAAGCATTCTGCCACAGAGTTACAACTCCAGTCTTGTGTTTTCTATTTTGTTTCATTGATCAGTATCTATTTTTGTTCTGGTTCTATGCTGTTTTTATCATTGTTGCTTTGTAGTATAGCTTGAACTCCGGTCTTATGATGCCTTCTTTGTTCTTGATGCCCATGATTGCTTTTGATATTCTGGGTCTCTTCTGCTTCCATATGAATTTTAGGATTTTTTCTCTAGATCTGTGAAGAATAATGTTGGTATCTGCATTGAGATTTCATTGAATCTGTATGTTTTGAGATATAGCTATTTTGATGATATTGGTACTGCCTATCCAAAAATGGGATATCTTTCCATTTTCTGACATCCTCTTTAATCTCCATTTTCAAAATACTATAGTTTTCTTTGTAGACGTCTTTCACTTCCTTGATTAGGTTAATCCCTAGGTATTTAATTTATTCTTGATGCTATTATGAATGGTATTGTTTTCATAATTTCTTTCTAAAGTGAGATTATTACTGGTGTACACAAAAATTTTTTTTTTTGTCTGTTTGAGACAGGGTCTCACTATGCAGTTCAGGCTAGCCCTGAGCTCACTTTATATCCTAGGCTGGTCTCAACTTTGCAATGATCCTCCTGTCTTGGTCTCTTGAGTGCTAGGATTACAGGTGTGGGCCAACTCAGTGCTATTGGTTTTTGTGTGTTGAACTTGCATCCTGCTAGTTTGTTATTAATCCTAAGAGTTTTTTGGTGGAATTCTTTAGGTCTTCTATGTATCATGTCATCTGTAAACAATGCTATTTTGAATTCTTCCTTTCTTATATGCATTCCTTTTGTTTTATTTCGTCATCAGGACCTTGAGCTTGCCAGGCAGGTGCTGCATTGCTAAGCATTCTCCTAAGCCATCCATTTATTTATTTATTTATTTAGTTAGTTAGTTAGTTAGTTAGTTAGAGACAAGGTCTTGCTTTGTAGTCCAAGCTGGACTTGACCTCACATTGTAGCCCAGGCTGGCCTCAAGCTCACTACAGTCCTACTGTCTCAGCCTTCTGAGTGCTGGGATTACAGGTATGCAGCACCATATCTGGGTTAATTTATAGTGTTGTCTTTAGTCTTAGTCTTTTTATTTGGTACCGGGAATTGAGCTCATGTCTTTTTTTTTCTTCTTAATTCCTCATTTATTCCCTTTACTTCACTCATCTTTGATCACCTTTTTTGTACATGTTTGCAGTATAAAATATTTACATTCATTATGTGGAGCTGGTACAGGATGTAACACATCCCAGTCCATTTTTAAATTTCTTACCCATTCTTTCCATTCCCTCTCCCTTCATTTCTTTTTTTTTTTTCAAATCAAATTGGTAGGACAGTTTTAATAATCAACATACTGCATACATTCTTCCCAGTGGTTAATTGCTGTACAAGATGTGGACATGATATCCTATTTACAAACACCATCAGAACAAATCATTCTCTTCATTAACAGAATGTAACTATATATCTATCCTAACCACTTTGAATACACAGATACAAAATGGACATTCATCTGTATACCCTTTTTTTGTTAAGTTCCTTTATTTGAATATTATAGGTGTGTAAACTCAGCAAAATATTCCAAAAGAGTCCAGTAGCCCATAATAGTATTGGG